ACAGTTATGGTAGTAGCGAATTTGTCCTGTTGATGCGTTGTTGGAGATTCTAGTGTGATTTTAAGGGCTTCCTTTTCAGATAATTTAGTTAAGGGTCATGGAAATTTTTTGTCTGTTTTCATATTGTTTAGTACGAATATAAAATACAATTATGTGTAAATTCTTAAGTACGAAGAGTCCATTGTAATAAATATTTAAGTGAGTACAAAAAATACAAGACGTAACGTTGAAGAATTTTATGAGACGTATGTTTTTGTAGGAAAATATCGTGAATGTACAAAGGACTTTAAACACACCACAAAGTTCTGTGTTCTAAGAATTCATAGTCCTAGACTATTCAAGATTTTTGTTTTACATAGCATCCTAGTCAGTTTTTTGTCAGCAGGCTTACCCACGTAACGATTTGACGAGGAACTCGACAAGTTTCAAACTGTATAAAGAGGATATTTTTAAAATAAATGGAAATGAATGTATTCATAACATACTATAATAAGGTAAAAAGACCCATATGTGCAATTTAAACGTGGTGCCGACGTGTGAAAATTACATTAATAATAATAATAATAATAAAGGAATTTATTTCTCTCAAAAAGGTACATACATAGAAACATTATATCACTATTTAAGTTACAATAGGTTCAACCTTTGTGAGAGCTGGAGTCTATACTGGGTTCAAGACCTGTATGACAGATCTCCAGGTTCACACCCGATGTCACAATAATATAGTAGGTAATTATAATGCAATAGAATACAAGCAATAAAAAGAAACAAATTCCGTGGTCTGAGGGTAGACCAACACCAAACCAGAGTGGATTATATGAGAATGGATGATGAGAATGTGTTTGTCAATTGTGAAAATGAATGTACAGTGTGTGAGTGTTCATGTCTTTAGTGTGAGTGTATCTGAAGTTGTGTGTTTGTGTATGTAAGTTGGTGTGCTGTGAAGAATATGTAGACATTACCGAAAGCCGACAACGACGAAGTACCCAACAATGTACCTATGCGAGATTTAAGATAAAACGTGCAGTAATTCTTCAGTGCTATCATAGTCCATGTCAAGAAGCCAGTTCCTGACCGTTTTTTTACATTTAGATTTACACAGAGGATATATGTTAAGTATATTGTTTGCCTTGTTGTATATGTAGCCGCTAAGAAAAGGGAAACTGCGTTGTGCTGATCGACAATTAGTCGAAAAAGGAGGACAAACACTATGCTTACGCCGTTTACCGTCAAACATGGTCGGATCGTAACTAATTTGGGAGTGAGTAGTCAAAAGAATATTCGAAATGAACAATTTTCGTATAGAGAGAACATTACAAATTTTATAAAGATCTGTGGTTGGAAAACGGAAAGGTAGCTTCCAGCCCACTTTCAGGAGTGCACGTTGTGCACGTTCTAGTTTTAAAAGATGTGTTTTAGCAGATCCACCCAGGCAATTATGCAGTATTCCATAATTGATTGACCAAGAGCCAAATACACAAGCCGCATAGTATTAGTATCGGCAGCATGACGGAGAGACTTGAATACATAAATTAGCCTCCGGACTCGAGAGGTAAGCGCGTCTATGTGAGCACGAAAAGACAGGCAATCGTCAATAAGTACACCCAGATATCTAATGCAGTCGACACGAGAGATACGGGGACAGTTACAGATTGACCTGTGATGTAATTTGCAAGAGTGTGCTATTAATGGAAGGGAGGGTAAACGGGACTTGCCGGCCTCTGAAAGGGAAAAGGTAAGATATTTCGTTTTATCTGAATTTAAAGTGAGCAGGTTGTGGGTCAACCAATTGGTGACAAGGTCGAAACCACCCTGTGCATGCAGATAAACCGACTCCCACGAGTCACCATGAAATAGCAGGGCAGTATCATCAGCATATGAAAAAATGGATGCATTAGGTATTTTCAGAAGACACAAGTCGTTTATATAAATAAGAAATAGGGTAGGACCTAGGATACTGCCCTGGGGGACCCCGTATGTAATGGGAAGGTCGATGCTAGACCATTCAGCAATTTTAACGCGTTGGCGTCTACCAGTAAGGTAACTCTCGAATAGCGCAAGCTGGATACCTCTGATTCCTATACGCTCAAGTTTAATTAAAAGAGTGGGGACAGATATCGTATCAAACGCCTTAGCTAGGTCCAGGAAGATACCTATGACCTTCTGATGCCTGTCCAAGTTAGAGATGATGCAGTTGGTGAGGTTTAGCACTGCGTGGCCTGTAGAGAGTCCGGAACGAAAACCATACTGAGAGCAGGAGAGGATGCTGTTTATTTCAAGAAACTTGACCAGCCTACTGTTCACAAGCCTCTCAAGTAACTTAGATAGGGTTGGTAAGATTGAGATGGGTCTATAATTGTTAAGACGATACCTGTCGCCGCCCTTGTGTATAGGAAGTACCACTGCTAATTTGAATGCATCTGGAAATATCCCGGATGTAAAGGCAAGGTTAAATATATGTGACAGAAGGGGAGTAAGATAGCTCTTGTTTTTTGATAAAATTGCCAGATATGTCATCGCAACCCGCGGCACAATCACCTCTCAGATTCTCAATCAAATTATTCAACTCAATATCATCGGTTTCTAATAGGACGAATGAATTAGGAAAGGAGGTATCGTTGACAGTTGAAGGGCGAGGTAAAGCATGAGATGTAGAAATGTTTTCCGCTAATGTACGACCTATATTTGCAAAGTAGCCATTAACTTCATTAACAGAGTGTGTTGGATTTGTAGCAGATACAAGAGCATCGGCAGAAGATTTTAGTTTGGATGTGTTTGTGATGGATTTAATAGCTTCCCACAGCTTTTTAGTGTTTTTTTGTGCGTTATCTATTTGGTTTTTATCGTAGGCATTTTTGGCAGCTTTAATCATGTTTGAGCAAAAATTTCTATACCTCTTGAAAGTAATTTTTAGAACATCATTCAGAGGTTCTTTTTTTAATTTTAAATGTAAATTGTCACGATTACGCAGACATTTAAGGAGCCCTGCGGTCATCCAAGGCTTGCGCAATCTTTTACGATTCGGTACTACCTTTAGGAAAGAGTTTTGTGCAATAATACAGCTGAGGGTGTTGATGAAGTAGTTTGTAGCATCATTAACTTGTGAGGAGCTATAAACTGGGCTGAAATCAGCCTGAGATATGTCTGAAGTTATCTTGTCATAGTTAAAAACACGTGTAAACTTCCATTTTCTTCGAGAATAATTACAAAAATTGTTATTCTCGAGAAAAAACAACACAGTGTCATGATCAGTTACCGAAGTATTTGCTATGTAACAGTAAGCAGGTTTTCTCGTTTTCAGCATAAGGTGATCAAGACATGAGGTACCTTGTCGCGTAGGGAGAGTGTGTGCCGGTAACATACCATGAAAAGCAAACATAGTCAGGTATTCATTAGCCCAAGAGTCGTTGTTGTTATCCGAAATGTCAATATTAATATCCCCGGTCATTATTATGTTATTATAGGAGGATACGGATTTCAGTACCTCATTCATAGAATCCAAAAAGGCAGAAGCATTCCGAGTGGCTGGCGACCGATATACTGCAATGATAACGACATCACTGTTAACTCGTCGAGTACCGGTTTTATAGACACAATTAAAGAACAATAGGTCGCGGTCACCGGTGACCGCTTGGTGTTTGACAGATTAATTGTCAATAATAGACAATTTGCATCTTGAACTGTGGGTTCAGAGACTGAGACTGAGTGGTGGGATTGATAAAACACCACGACACCCTCATTCTGCGTCTCCGGTTGACTAGTGGCAACACAGTTATAATTATGAATTGTTGGTAGGGGAGGTGAGTTATGAAGCCAGCACTCCGTCAGAATTATAAAGTCCCAAGACGTTCTACTTCTTTCTATGAGCGTTAGCATGTCGTTAAAATTCTTAACAATGCTCCTTATATTTTGACAGAGAAGTGACATAGAATCTTTGTGTAATTTAACAAAAGCGCTGCAGTCCTCGATATGGCATGCAGCCGATTCCGATACCGATATAAGGTCCAAATCGTCCTGGATTTTATTAAAACAATCGAATTTCACATTGAAAAACTAACATCGACGATAAAAAGGGATGTGTAATATTTCTACAAGTTATGGTCATTGGTCGTATTTTATCTTTTTTAAATTGGAAGGTTGTGGAAATGAACGAATGCGCCCCGAGTGCTTCGATCGGATCCACTGTGATATTAGTAACCTTTGCGTCCGTACACACCAAATCGATTAGAGACGAGCTGTTATTTGTAAAATGTGTCGGCGTAGGCATCAGCTGAGTAAGGTTCAAACAGTCAAGAAATGAGTCCAGTATATGGGTGTGCAAAATAAACATAAACAAATTCGATACAGTAAAGTAGCCGTTATTTAATAGGTAAAGAAACGTGCATGAGTGTGTAAAATAAACATTAACAAATTCGATATAGTAATATAGCCGCCCTTTAAAACATTTTAACATAAAATATATAGGTGTAAACGAAAGTATGTAATATAAATAACTAGCTTCTGCCCGCGACTTCGTACGCGCAATCCCATTTTCCCCCCGTTCCCGTTCGTAATTTTCGGTAAAAAGTAAAAAAAAAGTATTGTATAAAAAGTATCCTATGTCCGTCTCCTGGTTCTAAGCTACCTCCCTGCCAATTTTCATCTAAATCGATTGAGGCGTTCTTGAGTTATAAATAGTGTAACTAACACGACTTTCTTTTATATATATAGATGTATAGTGTATAGTGTAAATAAAATGTAGATTACATTCAAGCGCTCGCCAACTAGGAACCCGCTCAGATTGACGTCACTGCAAGCTGAACCAACCACGAAACAAACATACACCGCAGAAATTACACATAGAAAACCAAACAAAACATCAAAAGGTCCACAACATAAGTACAACTTAATTACTATTACCGTGATGTAAACAAAGTGCAAGGTATATAGCAAGTTCAACAGAAAAACAATTTTAAAAGGGTAAATTTTGATAAGGAAGTATTTATTGATACCCTCAATAATCAAACCGGGCCGTCTCCAAAAAATATTTTTCTAATATCGGCTTCCGATCGAACGCGAAGAGCGGATACGCCGTCCTCCTTCCGCACGTATATGCGTCCCTCTTTAGTCCACACATACTTGAATTTTTGACGCTGCGCAGCCTCACGAGTGGTACGAAAGAGCCTTGCATTAGAGCGAGTCAGATTCTCGTTAACGTAGACCCCCCGCGGCTGGCCGGGCAGATCGAGGTCTGCAGTGGTGAGCCCGCGGCGCACACGCGCCGCGCGAATCAGTTGCTCCCGGACCGCACGGCGAGACAGGCGCACGGCAATGACGCGTGGTCGCGGTCGCTCCGTTATGTCACCTTGGGATGCAGTCGTGACAAAGTTGCGCCGCACCATGCCAAGACGCTCGACGTTCACGATATCCCTATCGTCGAGAGCAATCCCCAGCTTCAGAGACACTGTTTTTATTAAATGTGCCGGGTTCTCGGCCTTCGATTCAGGAATGCCTGACACGATAACATCGTTGAGCAGCAGGTCCTGGTCGCGCTCGTTTAACTGGAGTTTCAGGTCAGCTATCGTCTCCTCTAGGTGGTCGTAGGGTGACGGGTCCCTAGCCTCAAAGCGCTGCTCGAGGTTGGTCACCCTGTGCTCCACTTCGTCCATGCGCTCGTTGCAGCCCCCAATGGCAGCCCTGAAGTCAGCAGTCTCCTGCCGCATATCGCGTATCTCTGCTCGGAGCGTACTCAACTCCTCCCTGAAAGACCGTATCTCTCGTGCCAGATCCAGACTCGCAGTGGTGTCGGTGGGCGGACTATTTGTCTCCGTGAAGTCAGCTGCTGCACTCTTCACTGGGGTTGCGGAATTGTCGGTCTTAGGCAATTTCGCCTTGCAGCCGGGACACAGCCAACCAGGCGCGGGGGTGGCCGCGGCTGGTACACCCACACAGGCTCGGTGATAGCAGCCCGTGCACTTGCTGCACCGGATGCCAGCTGACGCCGCAATGAACTGTCCACATCCACCACATTTAGCCATTACTCACAATTATTCACACTCGATTATTATTTTGTTATTATTAGATTTTTTTTTTTTTATTTTGTTATTATTGTTATTATCGGGTAGTTTGAATCACTATGACGCTAGTGTTGAATTAATGTTTATCATTTAATTGATTAATACGTTTCACTGACACTTTTCCACAATGTATATTGTAAATTGTTCGGTTATAGACACTTAGCTATAAAAATTCTTTAGATAAACACTGTTGTTTTATTTTTATTGCAACAATGTACGTAGACGTAAACTGCTGTTACCGACGACCGTGAATGAATGACATTGACAATGACATTGTAATTGTATCATTATCAACTGAACGCCACTTTGCGGAAACCGTTCCGTGCAAAAACACCTAATTTCAATATTAACCGTGTTCTACGTAGGTATTGTAATTTAATTATTTCGCCACGTGTGAAATAAAGCCCTCCCTGATACATATCGCGTTAAAATATTGAACAATTTCGTTCACTAGTTCGACACAAAGCACTATTGTTAACGACCTTAATTTCAAACATTATGACTGCGACCTTCGTTGGAAATAAATCACAGTCCATACCTACCTTACCTTTCAATTTTGAACTTCAATATTTTAATTAAAACAGTATTAATTGATATTTCATTTCTGATGAGTTCTACCTTAACGATCTACTCTATTTTTAGTAATTTATTCTTTGAAAGCAGCTTTGCTGGTCTTGATTTTTTTTAATTGATTGTTTGATGAGTTTCTTTTTCGTAAAAATATTATTTTTAAATCTAGTTCAACAAGAGTGTTTTTGAACTAAGGAAATTAATATTGAGTTAGGTTTAAAAACAAAACACGCTTCAAGCACTTTAAACGTTTCATATCGGTTAAGTGTTGCATCAATTTTCTTTTCAACATATTTAAACATTAAAATATTAGTCCAAATTTCTCATTGCAGAGATATTAAGCGATATCCAAAGCTTAAGTTAGCTACCTATGTACAAATTTTCATAAAGTTAGCATCACTGAGGTAAGTGCTCCACGGTAACGAGGAAATTAACTGCTATTACTTTAGCTGATCTCAACTAAATTACAAATGACCCAGTTCCAACCAGTATACACGTTGACCAAACAATAGAGTATAATAACATTATCAAACAAAATATTGACCTAGTCAATCCTTTTTGGAGGCTTTTATACATTTTAATAGTTTGGGTGCGGTTCGCAAATCTCATGCGCAAACTTTGAAGCGCTATCGGTTATTTTATCATAACAAAAGCGATGTAAATATTGTCCTAAATTATAAAGGGCTGTTTGTACTTTGTAGAATATAAATTGAATTGCATATAACTTTTATTTTTTAAACGTAAATGAATAAATACCACATTGGAAGAATAGTAAGCAACCTGGCCAGGTTTAGTGTTTCATATTGATTTCCATAGTGGATAAAGGATTATTAGGGTTATTTTAATAACTTTGACTTTATTTTTGGGGTTAAATTCGGTAAATAGCAGGGAGTATGGAATTGTGCCCGGTTACGTTGAAAATGAAAAGGCAAGGCGTTACCCAAATTATATTCAGGTAAATTAAGATAAATCTATTTGCTCCATAACTCCGTAACAAGAAATATAATTTTACATATTATAAATAGATAATGTTAACGCTCTTTCAAATTTCAATTAACAATACCGAATTTCACACAGTAAACCGTTTCTCTGTTCTTTAATAATGCAAATACCAAACCCCTCACACTATCTTCAAATCGTCCTTTATCAGACAATTATTTATTGTCGAAAACCGAATCCCCAAAGCATTCTGTCTATGTGCACTAAAGAATGCAAAACCAAACTATTTTAAGTTCGTCCCGAAACGTCCCGAAAATTTCCGAATGAACTATTTCGGCCGATGCCATTGATTGGATCACTCGTATTTCGAACTGCATTTTAGGAATACGAACGTGTATTTAGACTCTATGTTCAGTTTGCAAAGAAAGTCTTTAAAGTTAAATTAGTTTACACAGTACAGTAAGGTTCCGTGATCTGAATTATTCATTTTTATATGAATCTTGGATGTTTTTGTCTTTTGTGTGACTTTATGAAACAAAATGTATTTAAGTTTTGGAAACCTAATTCGTACTAATTACACAGTTTTTGAAACTATTTCTAGATACAGGACATGTAAACATATTTCATAATAGATTTCTTTTCACCAACAAACCAAATCATAAATTAAAAGGATTAAAAGAAATATACTAGAGTCTAGTCCTTTATTTCAACGTCAGGTTAGGTCAAGCATCTTAGGACAATCATTAAAAATAAGGGGTTGTATGACTGGCAAAGTTATTCTTGGAACTAAGATAAAAATCGTCTTCACAACCGTGAAATGAGTAAAAGTTTAAGAAAAGGGTTGCCTGCGTAGACACATAATCTAAACGTCAAAGACCTCTTTGAGAATGTATAAAGAAGTGTTTCTGGAACTTTCTATTTTTGTACTTCTTTTTTTACCTTACATAAGCCTTTAATAGCTGTAATATATACGTACCTACTGTGTAAACTTATAGGTTAAATATTTCCCAGCCTTTTATGTTTTGGGAAAAAAAGATATTTGAAAACAAAATATTAACTTAATGTATTAAACGTAACACCCACCCCGTAATGTAAAAATATTCGCGTAAATTCCATGGATATCCATGGGATATTTCGAATTCCACGAACTTATATGTAAGTATACCCCAGGTCCCTAAATTTTTATTATATTTGTTGGTAATTATTTGCCTTTAATGTATTTATTAGACTAACTTTAATGATTAATTAGAGCATTCAGAAAATACTGAAAGACTTCCATCGTTGACTTTTCATAGCAAGAAGATGTGGAAGCTGTTTTAAGTGAATATTAACCTCATTGGCAAAGATCATCTCTTGAAAATATAAGCATGTACTGATTGTAGTTCCATATTAAGCATACTTCCGACAGATCTTCAAATGAACACCCAACGGCTTAAAGAATAAAGATCAAAATAGGACAACGTCATTGTTAATATCGAAAATATGTATGCGTATTTAAATTTAGTCTTTCAGCAGTATACAATACGGTATATTTAAACTTGGCAAGATATACGTTATTGAGAAAGTTAGGCACAGCGTGAAACCACGTTCATAGCGAGATGTGCTGGTGTGAGTGACGTCACATAATTACAACTGCCTGTTTTCGACATATGACACAACTAATTAATTTGAATTGTGCCAACTATCTTACCGTTACATACATAAATACATAAGTTTACGCTTCGGTCACACGTTCACCAAGGTAAACAGAAACCACCGAACTTATAATTGTAACTTAAGTGTCTAACTCTTCTTGAATATAAAGCGAACTATTACAGTTCTGCATCATTACCGCAAATACAATTTTCTTCATCTACATCGTTGGTTCTCTGTTACTTTTAAACTTACTCTTACGTTTATTTTATGGGTTATTCCTGTAAACAAGCTACCGGATCACCTGATGGTAATCAATCGGCGTCGCCTATGGACACCCGGAACACCTCAAAGGTGTTACGAGTGCGTTACCGGCCTTTTAGGAATTAGGAATTTCAGGATTGTTGGGAATTCAGAGATTGGGGAGATTGGGGAGGGGGGAGGATAATTGGGCTTCCGGTAACCTCACTCACACGACGAAATACGACACATCGGGTTTTTGTGAGGCCGTGGTATCACTCCGGTCGAGCCAGCCAATTCGTACTGAAGCTTGGCTCTCCCACACTTTAACTTGTTACTTTTTAAACTATCAAAATGTCACTTCAAGTGTTCAGAACCTCACACTATCTTACCGTCATTAATATTGCGACCAATCTCACCAAAAACACAAAACAAGTTTTGTGAAGTCGGTATACGAGTTAGGTTTACATGATCTCATTAATTTCAAAGATATATTTTATTAGGAAGGTAAGTTAACAAATGGCCTGCGTTCAACAAAGACCTAAAATGGTTACGGAACATGCCTACAGTGGTTTAACGTAGCGTTAAGAGTTGGGTTGGAGGGAATTATTTCCATTCCGGCATTTGTTGAAACACTGTTATTTTTTACTTTTAATTGATCCGGTAGGACACGAGCACTTTTACCGGCAAGCTTTATAGATTAACAAAACTTTTAATCACGAAATGTTCCGATTAGACGTATTTCGTGAATTCCCGAGTATTTTCGACGCTTTGTGCGCGTTATGGCTTGTTTTCGAACTGCAAATTAAGGTTTTTATTGCGAAAATTGTATCAGTGTTTGTAAAGTAAGAATGTATTAATTTTCCTGTTTTATTAATCTAGTATGCTTAGTGCAAATCAGCGCAGAACTGACTTCTAAAGATTAAACATGAAATGCCAGATTTCACAAAGTGGCAAGGAGATTGTTATAATTTTACCGTACTGTTTTTGTACAATTCTTCTATTGTACTATATTAGATTAATTGCTTTTACGACAAAAATTCCCACTAGAAAAATAGATTAGAATTACACAGGATTAAAAATATACCTTCACCTACATCTTCTAAGAACAACATATTTAGTATAATTATCTTCAAATGATGATCCTTTGAATCGAAAAAATAAAAACGGTTTTATGAAGTTAGATACAGAAACAAATTCAAGAATTGAACAGAAATCTATAAGAACCTTTTTCTTCTACTAAGAAACATTTCTATTTTGATTAAATATCCCTTTTCTCTTAACTATATGATATAAACAACGAGTGGGAGTCAAAACTAATTTTGTTCTATTAGGTATCTTTTAAAATATTGGCGTTTTTGAATCGATATACTACATATTAATGTGGAAATAAGAGGGTTCTGTATTCCGTGATCAAACCCTTGTGACGATTAATAGGTAAAGACAAACTTGAATAATTTGCAAATTATTTAAATTTTAATTACATATCCTTATCATTATTGGAAAGACCTTGAAGTCTAGACAGAACACTAGGACTCGAGTGTCCCTGTATCCTAGTTTCTCTCAAGTCCACCGGACTT